ACCACAAACCATAATTCCCTTTTAATTTATTTATTTTTAAAACTAGTCTTTTCTTTTCATGAAAAGTTGTGACATTTATGAAAAGTTATGACTTTTATGAAAAGTTGCAACTTTAATGAAGAGTTTTGACTTTTATGAAAAACTATGACTTTTATGAAAAGTTGTGACCTTTCCGAGGGTTGCAACTTTTCCAAATAGTTGTAACATTTCTGATAAGGCACACTAAACATTTGTTTACACTACCCTTTGTTGTCTATAAATAAATGAATTTCCTCTCATTTTAAAACAACGAAAATTCTGAATCACTTCTTCTTCTTCTTCACAATTAAATATTTGTGTACTTTGCTCCTGTTGTGTGGCTCACTAACACCATTGCTTATGTTACAGATCCTGGTATGTATTTTTACAGTCATTAATTTATGCTTATGTTATTAATGATAAATGATAAGATGTAATAATTTTCATTTTCCGCTACATTATTAATGTTTGTTACTACGTAATCTTGTATGTAAGATAATATAATGTTTTAGTTTTAATGACTATTAGTTTTTAAGTATTATTTTATAAATTTTGTAATATTAAATGGTAATTTTACTAGTATATATATATATATATGGCTTAAGTCATCGATGGCCCCTTAAAGTTGTCCGCATATTTCATTTAGACACCTGAACTAGGGACAGTACCTATTGAACACCTAAATTGTTCAAAAAATGTACCTATTAAACACAAAATGCTGATATGGCAGAAAACGTGTTTTTCACCTGATTTTAGCGCGTGAAGACATTTGAAATCATATTTAATTTATTTATTTTTTGAAAAAACTTAAAATTGGCATTGTAAATAATTTTAAAAAAAATTCATCCAAAAAAGGAAAATACCCCACCCCCTTCCTCCCCTCCCCCTAATTTCAGTCGTCTTCTTCACCTGTTTTTAAAATCAAACTTACAGTGTATTTTTTTTAAAATCAAATAATTGGATCTACTAAAGAAACAAGATTTTTGGACATTGGAGTAATGAAAATCAACTAATTAGCTCCGCCAGAAAAAAATAATTGGACATTGAAGTATAAAAATGTAGCCGCCAGCTCTATTTCCAGCACCTCCAAACAAACATCACCATTCAAATTAAAATATAAACTCATTTAACTTATAAAAAATAAAATCAAAGAATTAGATAAAATTAATTTGGGTCCTCTTGATTTCTCTTTGCACCCGATTTGAAATAATTACTTCGTTAACAAACTCCGCTTCTTCATCACTCTTGTACGAGTCTCACTTTATATCTTTCTCTCATGTATTAGGTACGAAAAATTGTTGTTATTTTAAAAAAAAATGAGTCTACAAGTAGTTTGAGAAGATATAGAGTAGTTTAAGAAGAGAAATGTTGCTGGAAAGAAGATGAAGAAGAAAGTCGTAGGGTAGAAGAACGGGGGTGGGGGTAGTGTGGGGCCGGGTAAAAATGTGTTATTATATTCAATGTTTTTATGTATATTAAAAAGATTGAAAATGTATTTGTAGTAAACCTTTTTTTTTAATATAAAAATAATTCTTCCATAATTTTTGGGGCCCACTTGCCACATGTCATTTTTTCATTAATTATTTTGCCATGTCATCGCGAGTGTATCACACACATTTTACATTTTTCACTTATTATCAAAAAATGTCTAATAGGAACAAGATTTGAATAGAGAAAAGTGTTCAATAGGTATTAACCCTAGTTGAGGTGTCTAAGTGAAATATGCGGACAACTTTAAGG